TGCTAGCAAAAATCCCCCCCCCAAACAAAAAAAAAATCAAGTATCAATCTGCATGCTTACCCGCTAAGCATAAATTCCCCCTCCTCCCAATACAAATCTGCCCAAGTGTTGAAATCCCCCTCCCAGCACAAGTCTTTATCTCTCACTCCACTAGCTCGAATCATCTCTCTTCCCATATTCCCCCAGCACCAATCCCCCCCACCCCAAAAAAATAAAAAATCTCCCTCCTAGCACAAATCCTCCTCCCCACTCCAAATCCCCCCTCCCAGCACAAATTCTTCTTCCCCAATCCAGATCCTAGCACAAACCCCACCCCCAAAATTTCCCCTCCTAGCACGAATATTCCTCAATCATCCCTCCTAGCACAAATATCCCTCAATCATCCCTCCTAGCACAAATCCCCCCCCCCACCATATCACCTTTTCTAGTACAAACCCTCAAAATCCCACCTCCTATCACATATCCTCATCCCCCATCCCCCCTCCACAACACAACTCCCCCCAAATCACCACTCCTAGCGCCTCTCCAAATTTTCCCTCCTAGAACAATTCTTAGCACCTGCTGCCCCACAAATTCCCCCTTCCAACACAAATCCTCTCCCCCCAATCCCATCGTGGTGCCCCCCTACTTCACATGATACCATAGTGCCCCTCCTTCCCACCCCTTGTCCCGGCCCTGGATGTATTGCACTCTGTTGCAAGACCCATAGACTTGCCCGGGTTGCGTTCAGTGGTGGTAATGCCTGCCAAATGCAATATGCTATCTAATATCTGTAGCAACTGTGAAGCACTGGATTGTGGCCACAGCATGTACAGTATCTCTCAGAAGTCAGTCCACCCCTCACATTTTTGTAAATATTTTGTTATATCTTTTCATGTGACAACACTGAAGAAATGACACTTTGCTACAATGTGACGTAGTCAGTGTACAGCTTGTATAACATGTAAATTTGCTGTCCCCTCAAAATAACTCAACACACAGCCATTAATGTCTAAACCTCTGGCAACAAAAGTGAGTCCACCCCTAAGTGAAAATGTCCAAATTGGGCCCAAAGTGTCAATATGTTGTGTGGCCACCATTATTTTCCAGCACTGCCTTAACCGTCTTGGGCATGGAGTTCACCAGAGCTTCACAGGTTGCCACTGGAGTCCTCTTCCACTCCTCCATGACAACATGAACGGAGCTGGTGGATGTTAGAGACCTTGCGCTAGAGTTACTTGGACAGTCTGAAGTGCAACCTGGTGGCGTTAAATGGACCAAAACATGATATCCCAGAAGTGTTCCTTTGGATTTAGGTCAGGTGAGCGTGGGGGGTCATTCAATGGTATCAATTCCTGCATCCTCCAGGAACTGCCTGCATACTCTCGCCACATGAGGCCGGGCATTGTTGTGCACCAGGAGGAACCCAGGACCCACTGCACCAGTGTAGGGTCTGACAATGGGTCCGAGGATTTCATCCCGATACCTAATGGCAGTCAAGGTGTCATTGTCTAGCCTGTAGAGGTCTGTGCATCCCTCCATGGATATGGAAACCCAGACCATCACTGACCCACCACCAAAACAGTCATGCTGAACGATGTTACAGACAGCAGAACGTTCCCCATGGCTTCTCCAGACCCTTGCATGTCTGTCACATGTGCTCAAGGTGAACCTGCTCTCATCTGTGAAAAGTACAGGGCGCCTGTTGTGGACCTGCCAATTCTGGTGTTCAATGGCAAATACCAATCACGCTCTATGGTGCCGGGCAGTGAGCACAGGGCCCTCTATAGGACATTGGGCCCTCAGGCCACCCTCATGAAGTCTGTTTCTGATTGGTCAGAGACATTCACACCAGTGGCCTGCTGGAGGCAATTTTGTAGGTCTCTGGCAATGCTCATCCTGTTCCTCCTTGCACAAAGGAGCAGATACCGGTCCTGCTGATGGGTTAAGGACCTTCTACGGCCCAGTCCAGCTCTCCTAGAGCAACTACCTATCTCCTGGAATCTCCTCCAGACTCTTGAGACTGTGCGGGGAGACACAGCAAACCTTCTGGCGTATTGATGTGCCATCCTGGAGGAGTTGAACTGCCTGTACAACCTCTGTAGGGTCCAGGTATGGCCTCATGCTACCAGTAGTGACACTGACTCTAACCAAATGAAAAACTAGTGAAAAACAGTCAGAAAAGTTGAGTAGGGAAAAAAATGTCAGTGGCCTCCACCTGTAAAATCATTCCTGTTTTGGGGGTCATTTCATTGTTGCCCATCTAGTGCACCTGTTGTTAATTTCATTAACACCAAAGCAGCTGAAACTGATTAACAACCCCCTCTGCTATTTAACTATTTAATATCCCAGGAGTTTAAGTGACTTGATGCTATACTCTGATTAAAAAGTCTTCCTTTAATTTTTTTTAGCAGTGTATATATATATATATATATATATATATATATATATATATATATATGTTTCTAAAGGTTATATTCACATTAAATGTTTGCCACATGTCGGTAACAACTCATGCAATCCATACATACTAAGAAACCAAAACAAATGTGTTCAGAAATTAAGTTATGTGTAATAAAATGTAATGACACAGAGAAAAATTGTTGAACACATGAAGAGAGGTGCAAAAAAGACATGGGAAGCCAAGATACCATCTGAAATCTATCAGTAATTAGAAAGCAAATCAGCTGGTTCAGTCTCAATTTATGGCTTATAAAAAGGTGTCTCTTTACCAAGATGTCACACAAGAAACATCTCATGATGGGTGAAAGCAAAGAGCTCTCTCAAGACCTTCACAACCTTATTGTTGCAAAACATACTGATGGCATTGGTTACAAAAGGAATTCTAAACTTCTGAATGCTTCAGTGAGCACTGTTGGGGCCATAATCCAGAAGTGGAAAGACCATCATTTCACCATAAACCGGCCACAACCAGGTGCACTCAATCACCATGGCCTGTGTGCACGCTCACCACGGAAAACTCCATTGCTGAAGAAAAAGCATGTTGAAGCTCATGTATAGTTTGCTGCACAACATTTAGACAAGCCTGTGAAACACTGGGGGAATATAGTTTGGTCTGGAGAGACCAAAATTGAACTCTTTGAATGCCATAATACACACCATGTTTGGAGGTCAAATGGCACTGCACATCACAAAAGCAACATACCTACAGTGAAGCGTGGAGGCGGGAACAGCATGGTGTGGGGCTGTTTTTCAGCTTACAGTACTGGCAAACTTTGTTTCATTGATGGAAGGATGAATGGAAAAATTTTCCAAGACATTCTTGATAAATCCGCTGCCATGCAAAAGTCGTGTGCTTACAGTGAAGCACTAACAGCACACTATGTAAAACAGCACACAGTTAACCCTTTGATCACCCCACATGTTAAACCCTTCCTCCCCAGTGCCATTAGTACAGTGTCAGTGCTTTTTTTTAGCACTTATCATTGTATTGGTGTTACTGGGGATGTCAGTGACACCAATTCAGTTCCCCCCCCAGTGTCAGAATACCCACCGCAGTCCCACTATAAGTTGTTGATCGCCGCCATTACTAGTAGAAAAAAAAAATCAGTATATATACCGCCATTTGTAGACACTAACGTTCAAGTAAACTAATTAATTTATATGTATTAGGATTTTTTTTTTAGCAAAGACATGGAGCAGAATACATTTTGGTCTAAATTTATGATGAAATTAGAATTTTTTAATTTTTTTGCTGGACATGTTTAATAGCAAAAAGTCAAAAATATTGTTTTTTTTTCTCTCAAAATTGTCGGTCTTTTTGTATATAGCGCAAAAAATTAAAACCGCACAGGCAATAAAATACCATTGAAAGAAAGCTCTATTTGTGGGAAAAAAGGACAGAAATTTAATTTGGGTGCAGCGACCGAGCAATTGTCAGTTAAAGTGATGTGGCGCCATATTGCAAAATATGGACTGGTCAAAAAGGGGGGTAAATCCTCTGGAGGGCAAGTGATTAATAGGCACAAAGGATAAAAATCAACTGCCATTGCAAACTTAGATTGTAAAAGTAACAGTGACATCATCATTGTGCTACAAATAGCCTGAGTTGTGGAATGGACCAAGCAGCTCCACCCACTACAGCCTGCCTACAGAAAACTGCAGGAGGGGGCGGAGACAGGACCAGTCATCCTGCACAAGGAGAGAGAGCAGCAGTGACTGGTCTTTATTACAGGAAGCTCCTGCACGGAAGCAAAGTTTCACACTAGATTATTGCACAGATCTGAAAGAAATACACAAAGCGCAGCAAGATTCAGGGAAGAATACACATGATGAATGTGCTCTTTCCCGAAGTTCAGCTTTAAGTAGCTCCACCATCATTTAGAGTGGAAATGATTTTGAAAGTGTTACTAAACCCACAACAGTAAAATCAGTCTGTATATGTAGTAAAGCATGCTTGTTATATTCACTGTGAAGCCTACGGGGTTAATCCTCCACATTATGCAAAAAGACTGTTTGATCCTGTCTTCTCTAATCCTCCCCTTCTTTTACTGTCCTCATTCTGTCTGCTGATACAGAGCTCTAGGAGTCACTCTAAACATGTTCAGTTTAGTGTGCATGGCCAGATGTTTTTTTTGGGGGGGGGGGGGGGGTTGAGTGCATGTGATCAGCACAGGGCCAGGGGCGGACTGACCATTTGGAAACTCAGGCACTGCCCGAGGGCCCGGGGTCAGTAGGGTGCCCCATGAGATGCCCCTGGTACCTTTTTCATAGGCTTTTTTGAGTTTGGGCAAGGACACATGGGCCCCATGATCCCCTCTTGCCCGGGGGCCCCATGAGTTGTCAGTCCGCCCCTGCACAGGGCCAATCCGCACTGTACAGACAGAGGGTCAGGGGTCCTGCAGCCTCATAGGACAGTCAGGGGAGAATGAAAACTCCTCTTACCAGTGCTCAGCTGGACACTGATAGAAGTCACAAGACTGCTGTAAATGATGATGAGAAAAGGTATTTAGCAGTTTATATTTACTAAAATAATTGCATTTCCATGTTCTGTGTACTGTGGGAGACCAGATATAGTGAATGCAGGGTCCTGGGAGACTGGATATAGTGAATGCAGGGTCCGGGGAGACCAGATATAGTGAATGCAGGGTCCGGGGGAGACCAGATATAGTGAATGCAGGGTCCAGGGAGACCAGATATAGCGAATGCAGGGTCCTGGGAGAGCAGATATAGTGAATGCAGGGTCCTGGGAGATCAGATATAGTGAATGCGGGGTCCGGGGAGACCAGATATAGTGAATGCAGGGTCCTGGGAGAGCAGATATAGTGAATGCAGGGTCCTGGGAGACCAGATATAGTGAATGCAGGGTCCGGGGAGACCGGATATAGTGAATGCAGGGTCCGGGGAGACCAGATATAGTGAATGCAGGGTCCGGGGAGACCAGATATAGTGAATGCAGGGTCCGGGGAGACCGGATATAGTGAATGCGGGGTCCGGGGAGACCAGATATAGTGAATGCAGGGTCCGGGGAGACCAGATATAGTGAATGCAGGGTCCGGGGAGACCAGATATAGTGAATGCAGGGTCCGGGGAGAGCAGATATAGTGAATGCAGGGTCCTGGGAGACCAGATATAGTGAATGCAGGGTCCGGGGAGAGCAGATATAGTGAATGCAGGGTCCTGGGAGACCAGATATAGTGAATGCAGGGTCCGGGGAGAGCAGATAATGCAGGGTCTGGGATTTAGTAACACTTTAATCTATTTTTCCTTTTATCTTGTACTTACTTTTCCATTCTCATCAGATCAGAGTTGAAGGTATGTTATTAACCCGTAAAAAATGGACAAATGGTAAGAAATGGGAATTTGTAATGCAACATACGTTCAATTGCTCTTCACTGTCAGAGAGCGTCTAACACAAACACTCAGCAGGTGAGATGTATATTTGATTGCCTGACACCGCTTGGCTGTAAGGAGTACACGGCGGGAACCCAGGAAAAAAAAACATTTGATTGATACTAATCGCACTTAAAAGTTGTGTAAACTTCATCTTGTTTGTGTTTTATCGATATTTGAGCTTCAAATCACAGAAGTAAAGAAAATATTCCTTTGAAATGCTGACCTTATCTCTGACAGACGATCTCTACAAGAATAGTCTTGCCGACTTGAGCCGCTGAAAAGAGCATGACTAGCATGATGGAGGAGGGTCTGCAAGAAGCACTGTCTGTGCTGCTCTCTGCAACCAATCAGCTTCTTTTTTCATGTTTTTAGTATGGGTTTGGTATCTGCCCAAAAATAGAGTCCCTTTAAAGTGGTATTAAACCCAAAAGCAAACATTTATTATATTGCACCTTGCCAGTTCTTAGATGGAATGGCTGCATTAGATTTTTTTTTCTTTCCTTCTTTTCTTTTTTTTTTTTAAATCTTGTTCTATTTTCATCTGGTGATCCCACCAGCAAGTCTGTAGTTTTACACAAGTTCAAGCTCTCCAGCAGATTCTATCAGTTTACATGGAGGAGACAAATCATTTAGCACTGGCAGGGGTTCTTACAATGAGCAACATTCATGGAAAACCTATCCCAAAGAAGAAAAACAGTTTGCTGTAACTGCTTATGCAGTGTGAGAGGGAGTTTGGCTTCAATCTGTTAGTGTAGTGATCTTTCCACTGACACCAACAATGGGGCACTATTCCTTCCACTGACAACAATGGGGCGCTATTTCTTCCACTGGCATCAACAATGAGGAGCTATTCCTTCCACTGACACCAACAATGGGGTGCTATTCCTTCCACTGACATCAATAATGGAGCGCTATTCCTTCCACTGACACCAACAATGGGGAGCTATTCCTTCCACTGACATCAATAATGGGGCGCTATTCATTCCACTGACACCAACAATGGGGAGCTATTCCTTCCACTGACATCAATAATGGGGCGCTATTCTTTCCCACTGACACCAACAATGGAGAGCTATTCCTTCCACTGACATCAATAATGGGGCGCTATTCCTTCCACTGACACTAACAATGGGGTTCTATTCCTTCCACTGACACCAACAATGGGGCGCTATTCCTTCCACTGACACCAACAATGGGGCGCTATTCCTTCCACTGACACCAACAATGGGGCACTATTCCTTCCACTGACACCAACAATGGGGTGCTATTCTTTCCACTGACTTCAACAATGGTGCGGTATTCCTTCCACTGACACCAACAATGGGGCACTATTCCTTCCACTGACACCAACAATGGGGTGCTATTCTTTCCACTGACACCAACAATGGTGCGGTATTCCTTCCACTGACATCAACAATGGGGCACTATTCCTTCCACTGACACCAACAATGATGCTGAGTGCTCATTTATGTTCAAACTGCCATTTAATCTAATCCGTATCAATATATTAAGTGTATTTACCACTAAACGGGTACGTGTTTATTTACTGGTAATAACCCACAGGCAGATGAGAGGTATTTTACATTTGTATCTTTATTCGTACTTGCAGTGATTTTTAATACCAAGGTGTGTCAGAGGGGTCGAGGTTGTTTTTGGAGTCTCAGCGCAGAACAGAGAACCCAAAATTACTAAGCGGCTCCTTTGGGGGTGGTGTTACACTTAGGTTTAAATAAATACATTTTTGTATATTATATACCACGTTTTGGCTATATCCATGTGAGTTGGTTTGGTAAATTAACCGCTTCCACGCCGCTCTGTAGCAGAAATACTGCTACAGGGTGGCATGGGTGTGAAAAATCACACATATATATATATATATATATATATGTGTGTGCTTTTGCAGTTCCAGGTAAGGGGTGTGCGCGCGCCATACCCGTGCCACCATTCACAGCCTTAGCTGTCAATCACCGAGTCCTGGCCGGTGATTCCTCACAGGCACCCGGTGATCGCTGAGTTCTACCAAAGGGGGAGAGACCTGTTTATAAACAACAGAGATCTCTCCCCTGTCAGCTCCTACACACTGCTTTGTATGGCTTTGCATAGCAGAGCCATGCAAAGCAGTGTGTTTACAGTGTAAAGCACACACACAGCACACAGTAAAACACACACAGCACACAGTTAACCCTTTCATCGCCCCAGATGTTAACCCCTTCTGCCCAGTGCCATTAGTACAGTGTCAGTGCTTTTTATTAGCACTGATCACTGTAATAGTGTCACTGGGGATGTCAGTGTCAGTTAGTCAGTTCCCCTGTCAGTGACAGTGTCAGAATGCCCCCCGCAGTCCTGCTATAAGTCGCTGATCGCCGCCATTACTAGTAAAAAAATAAAATAAAATAAAAAACTCCAGTATATATACCGCCATTTATAAATGCTATAACTTTCACATAAACCAATTAATTTACACGTATTGGGATTTTGTTTTAGCAAAGACATGGAGCAGAATACATTTTGGCCTAAATTTATAAACGAAATTTGATATTTTTCTTTACTGGACATGTTTAATAGCAAAAAGTCAAAAATATTGTTTTTTCTCAAAACTGTTGGTCTTTTCTTTATAGCGCAAAAAATAAAAACTGCACAGGCGATCAAAAACTACTGAAAGAAAGCTCAATTCGTGGGGAAAAAGGAACATAAAACTCATTTGGGTGCAGCGTTGCATTACTGCGCAATTGTCAGTTAAAGTAACGCAGCGCCGTATTGCAAAAAATGGCCTGGTCAGGAAGGGGGGGGGGGGGGGTTTAAATCCCTTGGAGGGCAAGTGTTTTAAACCCTGGAGGTTGATTTTGAGTTATAAAAATAAAAAACGCAGAGGCGATCAAATACCACTGAAAGAAAGCTCAATTCGTGGGAAAAAGGAACATAAAATTCATTTGGGGGTGTTTTGCATTACCGCGCAATTGTCAGTCAAAGTAGCGTAGCGCCGTATTGCAAAAAATGGCCTGGTAAGGAAGGGGGGGTTTAAATCCCTTGGAGGGCAAGTGTTTAAACCCTTGAGGTTGATTTTGAGTTATAAATAATCTATATACATATATAGCAGTAAGATTTTCTTCCATCAGACAGCAAACTTTGTGCCAGGTACTCAGCAAAAGAAAATAAAAGAAGACACTTGCATTACCGCGCAATTGTCAGTCAAAGTAACGCAGCGCCGTATTGCAAAAAATGGCCTGGTCAGGAAGGGGGGGGGGTGTTTCAACCCCTTGGAGGGCAAGTGTTTTTAAACCCTGGAGGTTGATTTTGAGTTATAAAAATAAAAAACGCAGAGGCGATCAAATACCACTGAAAGAAAGCTCAATTCGTGGGAAAAAGGAACATAAAATTCATTTGGGTGCAGCGTTGCATTACCGCGCAATTGTCAGTCAAAGTAGCGTAGCGCCGTATTGCAAAAAATGGCCTGGTAAGGAAGGGGGGGTTTAAATCCCTTGGAGGGCAAGTGTTTAAACCCTTGAGGTTGATTTTGAGTTATAAATAATCTATATACATATATAGCAGTAAGATTTTCTTCCATCAGACAGCAAACTTTGTGCCAGGTACTCAGCAAAAGAAAATAAAAGAAGACACTTGCATTACCGCGCAATTGTCAGTCAAAGTAACGCAGCGCCGTATTGCAAAAAATGGCCTGGTCAGGAAGGGGGGGGGGGTGTTTCAACCCCTTGGAGGGCAAGTGTTTAACCCCTTGAGGTTGATTTTGAGTTATAAAAATAAAAAACGCAGAGGCGATCAAATACCACTGAAAGAAAGCTCAATTAGTGGGAAAAAAGGAACATAAAATTCATTTGGGTGCAGCGTTGCATTACCGCGCAATTGTCAGTCAAAGTAACGCAGCGCCGTATTGCAAAAAATGGGGGGGGGGGGGCGGGGTTTAAATCCCTTGGAGGGCAAGTGTTTAAACCCTTGAGGTTGATTTTGAGTTACAAATAATCTATATACATATATAGCAGTAAGATTTTCTTCCATCAGACAGCAAACTATATGCCAGGTACTCAGCAAAAGAAAATAAAAGAAGACACTTCAAAAAACATTGCTCCCTTCATCCTCCAACTCGAATTCACCTTCTGGCTCCAGGATGCAGCATCTCCCATTTGCATATTATTCCTGAAGAATGAGAGGATAAGTATCATTGTGATTTCCATAATTAATTGCAGTTCTCCTTGTCAGACACATGGTACGTGAGGGAAACTGTACGCAACACGCCGCAGACACAACACGTCGGAAAGGGAGGGGAGCTGACATGTTTGTCATTCCCATACTGTTCTCCAACACCCGATCACTTAAAATTCAGGATCTCCAAGAACCCCACTGACACACAATAATGAAAATTCAAATATTCATTTCTCCAAGCCCTTTGTGTCCTGAGCTAAACTAAGATAATGAGAGTTTTCAGCTAATTTTGGAGACTATTTAATAACATCTCCTGCTAGACTGCTCATGTAATCTCAGCAAGAGGAAGTATCTGGTG